TTCCTGCGGGCTACAATTGTTTCAACAACTTTCTGGATTTGACACCGCTATGTATTACGGGGCAAGTATTCAATTTACACTGTTCACTTTACTGCAACAAAATAAACTGACTGATAAAACCATATCACAATTGTGCGACAGGCAACAATAATGAAAATGGCCGGATTCACATCTATCAAGGATGCTATTTACTTTTCCATCCTCGTATCTGGGACTAACTTCCTTATGACAGGTATCGCGAATGCAATTCAATTATTTATCTTCCCAATATTCTTTTATCTTCTTTTGACATGCCTCACTTTTTCAAAAAAAAAAAAAAAAAATAGGGATAGCCCTCTTCCTGATAGATAAGATCGGGAGACGTCGAATATTACTGTACACGATTGTCGGCACGGCGGTTGGCCTGGCGATTTTGGGCGTTGGATTTGTCTTTGTCACAGGCTTCACGACAAAACAGAACACGTGTTTTGACTATAGAGGGAATTGCGGAGCGTGCATAATAGATGATAGATGTGGGTTTAGCATGGATAGTGACTCGTGCGTTCTCAAGAATCAGAGTAATTCAGGAAGTTTGTACTTATCGTGTCCTTCAATTAACACCGGAGGAAGTTGGTTTACTTTGGTCAGCTTGGTGATTTTTGTTACCTGTATGTCTTCATTCATTCTTCAATGGGGGGGTTTTTTTTCTGATAACCCTGACAGATTCTTAATCTCTTGTTTTTAGCATATGCCCTTGGTCTAGGGCATGTACCATGGACCGTGCAAAGCGAGTTGTTTCCTTTGAGCGTAAGGGGAAGAGCTGTGGGGTTAGCAACAGGTTATTACAAAACTTTTCTTCAAGTATTGATATGGTCACACCATAAATCGTCCATAATAAATAATCAATCACACCGTTTTTTTACACCACCAACAAAAAAGCCACAAACTGGCTTGCTAATTTAGGTGTCGCTGTATCCTTTCTGCCGCTGACCGAGGTCATAACAATCTCGGGTAAGACGATATGTTTATTTTTGTCCTAATATCATTTTGCTTTCCTAGGAAAAATTGATCATCTATATTTTTTACTTCCCCCTCCTAATCGTAAAGGAACATTTTGGATCTACGCAATATTCATGGTCATAGGCTGGATATTTGTTTACACTGCAGTACCCGAAACTGCTGGTAAATCTCTAGAAGAGATTCAGGAACTGTTTCTACGATAAAAGAGAGTCATCTTGCCGAGGTTTACCACTGAAAAAAAAACATCTAATTTATTGATGGATGGCACTGTAAGTCTGATTGTCATTACTACACTTTTTCGGTTGTAAGAGAGCCAAGTTTTCTAAAAGCAAAAAGTAAAACAGACGAAAATTTTCAATTCCAACTGAGCTGACCGATGACCCCAGAAACGTGATTAGTATCTCAGAATGTGAATATCATGATCTGTTCTGGCCTTTAAATTGGTTAACTTCTATCCGTGGTCAATGAACACTTATAATGTCACATACATTACAATGCAATTACTCTCTCCACCACAAGCAGCTAATTTGACATTCCATAAATATTAGGGGGTCAGATGGTAATGTCTTTATGGTTTCCTTTCTAGAAAACTAAAGGCTTACATATGAATAGATACAAGGAAAACATTGACATATGTGTGATTGGCGCGAAAACATCACTGTCTGAAGGAAGCAAAATATTGTAATCGATATATCTATGGATACTGATGGTTCAGTCTATAATAAATTCAGTTGGAATTTTTTTGTTTTTTTTTTCTTTACTAAAACGAAATTCTTCAAATTGCAATCTCTTGTTTGGAAAAAATCTATTATTCAGAAAAGAAACAGCGATAAAATTACGTAAATCTCTCTTTTTTTGTGACTTTAGCAGTGTAGTTTAAAGAGAATAGACCTTCGAAAGAAAGCATCCAATCATCCAATTGAAGAAAGGGACGACTAGTTGCACCAAATTTCTAATTTGCTGTCGCGCAGATATAATTTCGCAGCCGTTTCCAGATCATCAATGGTGGATATAGAGATGAGGTCACCCTCATCGTCCTTGTACTTGATGTTCCTTATCCCGGAAACGTTAAGGGCATTCTCAATAAAGTGCTTGATATCACCAAGAAGAATTTCCCGAGGATCCAAACTTAGAATACGAATATCATCGGCAACATGACACTTGATTATCAATTTTCCCTTTTTTTTTTTTTTTTATTATTTAAATTGTGGCTTTAGATTAACGAGTTTTGAACATGATTGATTGTGTCGGGAATTAGACAATCACCTGAACACGTGGAGCCACGTTGACCATGCCACCCCATCTTGGAACATTGGTCCTACAAAACTTTACCCTATTTATCCTATCCAAAACATAATGAATGTGTAATCCGGTCATGTCGATAGCCTGTTGCGGAGTCGATTCTTGAGCATACATGTGAATGCTCGTTGCCCTGTCTGTACACCAATAAAAAAAAAATTTGATGATACAAAAAAAACTTCATTTTTTTTTTTCATTTTACAAAGAGAGTTACCAACCCAAATTTTCACGAATTGGGTCGTCCTTGTTAAAACCCTTCTTCGAACTGTAAGATAACTATGTCGGAAGATCGTTAATCAACCGATACAAATCGTGTCGTGACACTTGACTTGATGGGTGACTCACCAATTTGATTGAATCCTTTTTCAAGGTGAGGAAGATAAGGTTTAGTTGCACCTTTGAAATTTCTTCCAAGGCTTCCAAGGGAATATAAATCTTTCCCTTGTTTTCATTCAAGAAGATTGAGATCCCTTCTTCGAGATACTTGTAGCGGAACTTCAATTTGTAAATATCAAACGCTTCAACTGATTCACAATATTCATCGATACTAATGCTGGACAAGTAAAATTCGATATGTTGCGGTTGATAATAATGGTGAAAGTTGTTGCTGTTGACGTTACTTTGCGATCTTCCAGGATTCTGAAATTTCCTATTGAATGTGTCACCACGTGGATTGTACTTTGGATTTTGGTCGTTTGAGCAAGTGCCCGAATGGTCACCGTTGTTTACTTTTGAATATACCTAAAATCGATCACATTGAAAAAATATGTACCCGAGAAAGGATCAGAATAAAAAAACGAAGAAACTAATTCGCACCCACGGAATATCATCCATCGTTATTTTTTCTTTCAAATTTTCTTGATGATTTTGCCTATAGAGAGTGAAAATTTAGACGTAATTGTGATAAAAAAATGAACACATCGTGAACTGTTCTATGGCGTACTTGATTGTTGCATAAAATTTCCAAGTTGAAAACTCAGCAGCTCCAAAACTTACGATAGATATGATAAATATTAAGGTTAGTTTTCTTATTCAATTCTTTTGTTTTATTTTTCGAAATCTTTTTATTGTTTTTTTTTAAAAAAATGCATTTTGTTTTAAACAAATTTACAGTAAATAGAGAAAGAAAGCAAAAAAAAAAGAATTTTTTTTTTCTTTAATTATCGACTTAATTACTGTATATTTAAAATTTTTTATTAAGTTATAAATAAAATAAAATTGGTATTTATTTTTCTAATGATATATGACATACACGACAAATAAAAAAAAAACAACAATAAAGCATAAATAAAATATACAGTATATACTAGAAAAGAAATTTTGATAAAGGTAAGGTATAATATTGAGATCGAAATTTTAAAAAGAAGCTTTTCTGGACTTCAGATCTTTAACAAAATAATTAGAAAATAATTTTTTCTTATAGTTTTTTCCTAGAAAAGTTTTTTTTTCTATAAACTTTATAGATTTATTTTTTGTGGTTTTTTTTTTAAAAAATTATATAAAAAGCTTTTTAAAAAAGAAATAAAACAAAAAAGAAGAAAACAAATACTTCAAAAAAAATTTGTTATTAAAGAAAATATATGGATTTTATACTAAAGAATATACTGTATAAATGTCTGTTTTTTGAGTGGTGAAAAGAGTTTATATTAAAATTTTTTGATTTTTTATTGATTAAAGATTAGTTACTTGTGCATGCATGGAACTGGGTTAATTGACCTTGTGTTCAGAATTTATTATAGAGGTATACTTTCCTAACAAAGATCACTAGAATTTTTTATTGGTTTTTTTAAAATATATTGTATCTGAAACTTATTTTATTAAAAATTAATATATAATAAATATTATTTGAAAATATAAAGTTATTTTATTAACTACTTTATATATATAATACAATTTTAATTTATTAATAAGTTATTTGCTTAAAAGATCAGTAGATCAATAGTATAATAAATAATGCTCTCTGGTTTTCAAATGTATATTTCTAATTCAATATCCACAGAAAGCAAAACATATAAATTATTTTTTATTTGTGAGTTTATCAGTTTTTTTAGGCCACATAAAAATAAGATCTCTAGTCTATCTAATAATCATGGGTTAAAAACAGATTAAAGCAAAAAAAATTGTACAAAGAAAGGTTTCTAGTCTAACTCTAATAAAAGCCCATAACCTCCTGTTATAACAAACTTTATAATATAATAAATATTCTAGCCTAGAGCTATTTTAATCTAGTATTTGCTTAAAAAAAAAGAATATTAAAAAGAAAATCTGAAGTTATAGATAGCAACAAAAAATACAATATCTTTTTTGAACTTCAAGTAAAAAATATTGAATGGATTATTCAAGTATTTTAATTAATCCTAAAAAATATAAATTTTCAATAACACAATTGAACTAATAGATTTAGGTAAGTTTAAACTAGTGACAAAACTTTTCATTCTCTAATGAAGTTAATTATAATTAGTAATAAAATAAACAATATTAATTACTTATATAGAAGATATAAATAATATATAAAAATATAAATAACTTTATACTTAAAAACACTTAATTTATAGCTTAGATATTTATTATTAATAAAAAATTTTTATTTTTTTTTTAAATTTGCAATTAGACCAATATTGTTTTATTTATTAAATTATATAACTATTACAAGTATAAGAATACAAGTAAAATATAAATCTTCTTAATCCAACTTACTTATAAATAGTTAAAGCTTTTAAAAGTAATTTATAAAAGTAATATATTATTTTTCTAATTGATAAATTAAGATCCAAAACTTTTAATATAATTAATATCTATAAATCACCTTTATAATTAGGATTATAAACTCTAAATTGTGTTTATTTTCTCTTGCAAAAACTATATAAAGGAAAAGAAATAAAATTTAGAAAAAGAAAAAACAATATAAATATATACAAAAAAAAATAATAATAATAAAAAGAAAAAAATTATTATTTATTTTAACTATTATTGAAAGATTATCTTAGTAAACAAAAATCCAAACCTTTTATTATTGCTGCTATACTTACTTTTCACTATTTATGATTAGCCAAATTGTTTAATTATGGTTCCAAAAATTGGAATTATATAGATTTGCATAAACTTACATATATAAAAAATATAAGTGGATTATAATCCATCTATTAAATTTACTATAAGAGCTAAAATTGAATAAAATCGAACATAGAATCATTAGGATTCTTATATTTAATTTCCATTAAAACAATAATATTAAAGAATATTTAAGGATATTTCCAGAAAAATATTGTTTTTAATTAGAAAAGATATTAATTTTCTATTATTGATTTTTCTTTAAAACTATATTTTCTGAAATTATTGCTTTATTTAACCTGTAAATAGTTTCAAAACTCCTTTCTCTAATCATTTTTAAAATAAATATTGTTATCTTAACTTGCTACTAGATTGAAATAAAACTTGAATCTTATATTTATTGCCTATTTTAGAAAGAATAGAAAAGAAAAAAAAATTAAAAAAAATGTTATTTTTCTTTCTCACTTATAACTTTTATTTTTACTTAATACTTTTATACTACTCTTTCAACTAAAAACTATCCAACTCTTTTAGAAAATATTATATTATTGATTTAATATTGCATGATTAAAAATATATAGAAGAATATGTCTTGTTTATTTTTTCTATAACTGATATAATCATTCTGTGATTTTGATTAATTATTTTTCAGAAATTTGATATAATCAAAAATTCAGAATCAAATTAAAGTAGATAAAATTCTTTAAAAAAAACAGAAAAAAAGAAGCATGTTTAAAAAAAAAGAAATAAAAAGTCAAAAATAATAAAGAAATTATGAAAGTTTTAGAAAAGTATTTTATTTTATTAGTTTTCTTTTTAAAAATATATTTTTGCTATAAATTTCTTAAGTAGATTTTTTATATTTAATTATAGAAATAAACAAAAAAATTTTTTTTTAAAAAAAAATAAATAAGTAATAGTTGTTACTTGCTTTGTTAATTAAAAAACCTATATTGTTAAAGAAAGTATATAGACTTTATTATTATAAAGATATAATTTTTTTTGAAAATATCTGTTTTTGGATTAGTAAAAAAATCAGTAGAAAGAGTTTTCTTTTCATTATTATTGTTTTATATAATAATTGAAAATATTAAAAAAATATTTATAATTATTATTTAAGATATAATCTTTTTTACAATAATATTAATTATTTAAAATTTTATTTTATTTTTTAAAATAATTATTATTGAAGAAGTTTCTTATTTTTTTTTTTTTTTTTTTTTTCCCAAGCAGTCAACGCAGGACTTTTCAACCGACTTCTTAGCCCCCTGGTGTTTCTCCAGGGTGCAGGGACGATATTTTATTAAATCCTACATACTCGTCTGCAGCCTAAGCCTCTAAGTATAGACGTTGGGGGTGGAGAATTTGCTATATCAAGGCGAGCGTTTCTTATCCGCCAGGATAGTTTGCACCAGCAGTCACCTACTACTGTTTTTCAACCGTTCAGTTTAGCCAAGACTTACTAGGATTTTTAGTCAGTGAGATATCATTGGCGGGATGAGGATACACCAATACACCAAATTCGTCTGGGAATCGGACCCAGCCTCACCCTTCCTAATCTAACCTAGCAACACATGTGGGGGGTTACATTTTATGGGGTCATGCAGTCAACCGTCGCAAGTGTACCCCTTAGGATAGAA